AGGAACTGTACTAAAGGCAGAGGGCAAGGGGCCAGTGAAGAGTGTTCTGGTGAGTTGAGAATGCTCACAGAGTTGTGCACATGTCCATTCATACCCCAAACGTCAGGGCTGAGCCTGGACAGGTGGAGCTGATGGTATTGAGCTCTGGCATTCACCCAGGGGTGTAGCAGCCCACCCCCCCCCCCACCCCCCGCTCCCCCAGATGTGGTCTGGGCAACATTCCCTCCATGATGGTGGAAAGTTTTCAAAGTCCTAGAGGAAAGAAGAGAGAGCTGAGTGAAGGATCTCTGTCCTCAGTTGGTCGTAGAATATGTGTGATGGGGAAGGAAACCCAAGAATAGACTGCAACTAGAGGAATATCTCCCCTAGTGGCTCAGATGGTAAAGATTCTGCCATCTGAGATTCAGGCACATTGATGCCTGCAATGTGGGAGACCTGGGTTCGATCCCTGGTCGGGAAGATCCCCTGGAGAAGGGAATGGCTCCCCACTGCAGTATTCTTGCCTGTAAAATCCCACGATTTTAAAATCGCAAAGAGTTGGACACAACTGAGCGACTGAACAATGACAACAAAGTCCCATGGACAGAGGAGCCTGGCAGGCTATAGTCCATGGGGCCACAGAGAGTTGGATATGACTGAGTGACTTACACATTCACTTTTCATAGGGATATCAGCCTGCCTTGGGGAAGATGAATGCAGGCCTGCCCTGGCCCTTGAAGTGCAGTTAGCATGGTGTTTTGCTGGTGTGTCTGACTGCTCCCCCTACAAGCTTTTAGGCCCACGTTCTCCAGGATGGTGGCCACCAGCTGTGGGCAGCTGTTGAGCAACTGAAATGTGGCTGATGTAAGTCAGCTACTGGACCTTTAGCTTTATTTAATTTTAATTAATTTAAATAGCTGTATACCGCTAATGGTACTATATTGGGCAGGGAGTGGACATTTCCATTATTCCTAGTTCTGTTGGATAGTGCTGCCCTAGATGGTTTTTGTGCTAATGACGGCTTAGCATCATCAAGGGAGGAATCAGGAGCATTTAACTCATTACATTTTTTAAAATGTTAATCACATCTTATGTGTTAATTTTTTGTTGCACTGGGTCTTCGTAGCTGCACATCAGCTTTCTCTAGTTACGGAGAGCAAGGGCTGCTCTCTACTTGCAGTGCACAGTCCTCTCATTGTAGTGGCTCCTTTTTTGGAGCATGGGCTCTAGGCCTGTGGGCTTCAGTAGTTGTAGTACATGGGCTCAGTAGTAGGGGCACGCAGACTTCAATAGTTGTGGTGCATAGCCTTAGTTGCTCCTTGGCATGTGGAATCTTCCTGGACCGGGGATAAAACCTGTGTCCCCTGCATTAGCAAGTGGATTCTTATCCACTGTACCACCAGGGAAGTCCTCATTGCATTTCTTAACCAATGCAAGGCTATGGCCAACTCGAAAAAAAGATACACATTTATTCATTCATACACATGTCTATCTCTTTATGTATAAAGTCTACCTACTATGATCTATTTATCTACCTATCTATAGATACCTACCTACCTACCTACCTTGCTGCTACTGTAGAAACTTTTGCTCTCTCCTCTTCCTAGCACCAGATTTAACTCAGGAGTCTATTTTTACTTAGTTTTTGCTATTTTCCCCCTTTACCTTTAAGAGGACATTGATTGACCTCATCGATGGGAATGTTCTCCAAGTGTTGCCACGGAGCATGAGTGTGTTTTTCTGCATCTGGCGTCTCTGAGGGTGCCTAGTTTCCGAGGTGTCTGCCCTGCAGGCAGTGGGGCGTGAGTTCACCCCTGGTCCTCGGACCTCTGACTCTGCTGGTAGGGGGAAGATAGTGCCCGGGGATGGCTGAGCCTTTGGCGTCCCAGAGGGAGTCACCCCATCCATCATTCTGGTTGAACTCTGGGAGAGGGTAGTCTCTAATGTCAAGAAAATAACTAACTGATTTCCATAAGTAAGGAAGTTACACATGGCTTTTTAGTTTCAAAGTATTTTATTTAAATAAAATCTTCTCTTGGTGCATTTAAATTTTCCAGGAAGAAAAAAAAAAACACTGACAAATGCTATACAACATGGACCATTTATATTCTTCTTGAAAAGGTGACTGTCCTTTCTCTATATCTTCCCCTCCTCCCGCCGCCCCCCAAGAAACCCAAAGCGAATCCCTTGAGCAGTTGGGAGAAAGACCTCTTCTGATTGTTCAGAAGTCCTGGGCATGGGGGCTCCTCCTCCAGGCCTGGGCTGGTTTAGGAGGCCTCTCTTTGCCATCCCTTTTGCCCTCTGTTAGCCTATCCCCACCCCCACAAGGTGGCTCCAGTCCTAAGGGACCCCTGGCTGCCAGTGGTAGTTCTGGGACAGAGGGTGGGAAGGAGCAGTGAAGATAGAGAGGGATGGAGCCAGGGTGGGGCCTCGAGACAGAGAGGGGAATGGGAGAAGAAAACAGGGGAGAAGAGGATGACAATGAAGTGGGAAGGAAAGGCAGTGGACTCCAATAATTGCTTTTTGCTTCTTTGACACACACACTTATTCAGCAAAGTCTGAGGGCCTCTCACTCACTGGGCACTGTTCTGGGTACTCCAGTGAAGGTTGTTGAGGAGGCTGGATGGGAAAGAAGAGATGCCCCTTTCAAGCATTTGGCTTTCCAAACCTGGGTTATGGAAGCAACCAAGAAGTGTGTTTCTGGGTGTTCACACCTGGAGGTGGAGCAGATACATTCAGATAGGAGATGGTGGGCACTGCACCTGGAGATAGAGGCCTTGTCGTGGGTGATGACGACGGACTGCTGTCTTAATTCAGACTAGCAGCTGGTTGCCATGACAACTATGGCACTTGTGTGGTTCCGTGATCCCAGAGATCGGCTCTCCTAGATTGTATCTGACACCAGTTTCAGCCGTCAGCCTCTCCGTCCCCCCCAAGTCCTCCATTTGAGGGGTTGCTGAGAGTTGGAGACAATAAGCAACTCAGACTGCTGGGCAGTGGGAGGTGTGGGGAGATGAGAAGTCATTCTGGGAGGTATAGGGGATGGCCAGATGTTCCAGGACAAGGGGACAGAGCATCAGAGGGTGCTTCTTTCTCTTGTCAAAGAGGTTTATGCCTGAGGGGCCTGAGTGCCTGGGGTATTTAGGCCCATTTAGGGCAAGAAGGGGGAACAGGGCGGGTTTTAAAATAAAAGCAGGCCTGCAATATGTTTAACAGGGTATTCCATTAGAAGCAGCAGTTGCCAGCAGGCACCTTACCTCCACAGGACTAGACCTGGAGTTTGCCTGAAAGGTGACTACCAGCTGCCCCAAGTGAGCAGAGGATATTTTCCATGAAACAATGTTAGAGAATTTAGCTTTTGCTTCTATAAATATCATAGCTTAGCTATATTATTAATGAAATTGCAATTTCACCATCATTTAGAACAGCTTCAGTCGGAAAATATTTCAAGAGAGCTACCCTGCAGAGGTGCAAATGAACTTTGAGAGCACAACCTGCTCCCACGTGGGGAATTATCCATCTTTGTGCTATGGTCACAGACAATCAACATACCACACAGTTCACACTGTGAGTGGATTAATTCAGCCTCCCAAACTCAGCCCAGAATGTGGGGAGATGCTCTGCTCAGCTAACCATGGACCCAGCTTACATGTCCTTATGGATCTCAGGGCAAATTGTCAACCCAAACCTTGGCCCTGCATGCATCCTCCTTATTCAGAATTCAATACCCAGCTTCCACCTGTTGTAGCAATTAATGGGCTCACTTGGAAGAGAAGGTCACTTGGGGACTTGGTGAGGTATTTCAAGTTTACCCTTAATAGCATCACATATCTGACAGCATCCACAGACAGTTGTGAGTACCGACTGTGTGCAGGGCACTAGCCTGAGCTTCAAGATAAATATTAATAAATCTCTCAATAGCTTCGTCCTACTTTCATTTAAACTCTGTAACTTCTGCACCACGTCTGCAACATGCCATGCCTCCACGATACCCTTATGTAATTGTTTCCAGTGTGCCTTCTGCGAGACTGTACCACTGATTGTCTTAATTCCTTCCCTGCTGAAAACCTCTGGGTTCATAGGAGAGCCCTAGCTCAGGGGTAGCATCCCATTTCTATCTGTGAAACATACATTGCACAGGTGCACAATGGCAGTCCACTGAAGTGGATGGCATAAACCTGGCCATGAAGATGGCCAGAAGCCATTTGTTCTTGCTTGGAGAAGGAAGGCTTGCTGGGGGTAGCATCTCAAAGAGAAGTCTTGGATGCCATTAAACACCCATCAGTGGTGATGAGTTGTAAGATGATAGCTTTTGATTTTTCAACTTTTCCTCCCAGGTGAGAGGCCAGAAGCACAGGAACTTGGCATGTCTGTATCAATATATGGGAATGGGGGTATACCAGATGGCTGGAATGTCCAGATATGAAGATTTCCAGTAAAAGGTTATGTAGGGACAGGAACAGAAGAGCATTCATCTCTAACCTGAGTGGTGTATGGCATTGACAGCACATAGGCTTCTCTTGTTATATAATTGTGCATGTGGGCCTGGATCTGCCAGGCCTTCCTATGAGATGTTTTTCCAAGAGCAGACAATGAACTGCCTCATTTAGGGACTTGTGCAAAGTAGACATTCAGTGACCAGTTGATGAACAGAATATACTTGCCTGGGTACCTGTGGTGTTGTGCATGTGTGCATTTGGGAGATATGTCAAGAAGTATGAATAAATGTTCCTTGTGCTTTTGCATACGGAATGTGCCAGAGATGGGTGGAAGGCATGCCTGAGTCTGCAGTAAAGAGCATTGCTATTGGACACACAGATGCTGAGAAAGCGCCCAAGACTTGTCCACGTGCTCCCTGGGAAGGCCTGCCCCGAGGGACACTCAGTCTGAGGGTTGCTCCTTAGATGGGTAGTTCCTCTGTGAACATGAGCACATCACTGCAGGGATTTCTGCTCCCCACATTGGGTGTGGTTGGAAGGCAGCTGAGCTCCCAAGGAAGGACACCGCTGCCCTCTGCCTAGCTAGACAGGCAGGGATGGCCTCTTTTCCATCTGGAGAAGCTTGGGCTGGGCAGAGATCCAGAGGTCTTCTTCAGCCGCCTTCTTCTTTTTCTTCTTCTTCCCCTTGGTTTGCTCTGGCTGTTGGCCATGTTCAGCTGGCCGGTTCCAGCAGCAGTGACAGCAGATGAAGAGGAAGGTGATGATCACCAGGAGGGGCAGCCCCAGGAGGATACCTAGGCAGATGCTGTTGAAGAGGCCCTCCTGGTGTTTGGTGGAGATGATGTCCCAGATGGCGCTGAAGAACATGCTGATTTTCTCCATGATGCCTGGCTAGACTGGGCCAGAGAAGCCCCTTAGCTCACCCACAAGGGCAGGATGTGAGAAGATGCAGGCTTGTCCACTTCGAACTTAGTTCTCTTCCAGCTCTGGGTTTGGATAGACCAGAGATAGCACCTAAAGAGAGAACAGCAGATCATTTAAGAGAGATGAGGAGGGGACAGTCTATAATTTTTAATAACATCATTGATTTTAGGCTCAGGAAAAGGAAGGAAATCAAAGAGTTCCAGAGTTCACTGAAATTGTATTGAGACTCAATAAACAAGATAAATGCATGCATTTAGTCAGTTATGTATTAACTAATTCTCGCTATGTACACACTATATGGGGCTTAGGATATGACAGTTAATAAGATGTCAGACCTGGCACATAGGTAATCCTCCATGATAGTTAGATAAATCAGTGTGTGCATCCCACAGTGTTCTGGTTAGGGGGTTGGCTCTCCGGACCCTCTACAGGAGTAGTTCTCCACCTTTCTTCATTTCAGCCTACCTGATAAATGATGAACACACACTCCCCACAGGACAGCTCCATATCTGACCTTTCATGAACACAACTTGTCATTTTTAACACTAATGAAAGCTTAAGCACAAGATAGAATGTCCAAGTCTTGCTGGCTGTCATGGGGGCCCTGGACCTCCCTAGGCTAAGAGGTCATCAGTCCTCATCCTGTTTCACTCCTGCTTTTCTTTCATGCTTTCTTCCTGGCCCCGTGACTCCTCCCTCCTTACATTCCACTTTCAGACCTGGCAAGGACTCATCATGCTGTGGGTGAGAAACCAGGTCTTTCTGTTTCTACCTTTCTCTCCCTTATTACCCTTTTCTCTTCTCCCTGTCCCCCAACCAAGTATTCCCAAGTCTCCTCCCTGGCCTGTTCCCTCTCTTTGCGGTGAAAAGAGTTTTGCAGGCTGATCAGTGATGGTGCCTGGAAACTGGGAGGGGGGTCCCTGGCTGCCTCTCTCCTCCTATCCTGAGCCCAAGTTTGCAGCTGGACAGTTCTGCTTGCTTGTCCAGAGTGATCCCTCTTCCTATAGTACCTTCTCCAACTCACCACATGTATCTCAGGCCTCAGCTCCCAAGTGTAAGATCTTAGAGGAGCCTTCAGTTCTGGAATCCACAGGTTCTTGGGTCTAAACAAGACTCAGAGGACAGGCATGAGTCAAAGGAATTTAAGAGACCTCTTGGCATTAAACATTGTCCAGGAGCCAAAGATTGAAAAGTCATTGATTTTCAGGCTGGAGAGCTTAGAAATCATCCTGACCAGCTGTCTCATTTAAAGATGCAGAATCTGAGGCCTAGAGTGGTGAGGTGACCTGTCTGTGAGGTGACACAGAAGCACATGTGTGTTTCTCATCACACACAAAGCTGTGATGAACACCCAGACCTCTGAACAATGGGTCCAGCACTCTCCCAAGGCTACCGGGCAAGCAGAAAAACTAAGGATATTAACGTTACTTTATATTTTACTAAGCCACCTTCATGTGAATTATATCTTTTAAGTGAGGAACAGGATGGTGCATCGTGAGTGGAGGGATGCACTGGGGGGACCTAGGTCGAGTCATTCTGAAATTCAGGCTTCATTGGGTTGTCCTGTACTGGAGCATAAGTGCGTGTGTTACACATCTGGGTGGTGTGTTACACACGCTGTCCCAGCAGTTGTGCTTGGAGTTCTAATTCCTTGGATAACATGTACTCTTGGTGTCCCAGATACCCAGTGCCCACGTGTCCATCCAAGCCCCACCCAGGATCTCCATCCTGGTCTGCAGGCATGTGGCCCCACCCCTTTATAACATCATTTATACAGTTTATGTAGTCATATAAATTGGCACCTGCCTCTGTGCCGTTGGGCCCAAGGAGCCTGACATCATGCTATAAGGTAGCACTCTTGGGACTCCCCTGGTGGTCCAGTGGTTAAGAATCCATCTTGCAATGCAGAGGACATGACTTTAATCCCTGGTCTGGGAACCTTAAGATACCATATGCTGCAGGGCAACAAAACCCATGCACTCCAGAGTCCACACACTCTGGAGTCCATGCACCACAACGAAAGATCCCACATGGTGCAATAAGACCTGATACAGCCGAGTAAATAAATACATATTAAATAATTATTTTTTAAAAGATGGCACTTATTACATGCTGGGCACTGTTCTAAGTACCTTGCACCTGTCGACTCATTTGGACTATCACAAGCTTATGCAATAGGTACAGTTATTCTTCCCATCCTGCAGCCAAAGAGATGCAGGCACAGGTCACACAGTGTGTGAGTAGCAGAGCTGGCCCTAAGGATTCTGGGAAGCTTGGCTCCAGATCCCCAAGGGCTGAGCCATTCATAGTGTTGCTCTGGGCCTCCAATTTCTTCATGTGGAATTAACCCATTTTTGGCAAGTAGCCCAGGGTTTATAGAATCCTCTGCCATCCCCCAGATCGACTGAAACATTTATCCCGGTCTGCTGTAGAAAGAGACTACAAAGAGATTTATTTCCCATTGTCAGATACCTCACAGATGCATGAAGATACATACGATAAAAATCCAGTCCTGCCCAAGGGGAGGTTTATAGAAAGCATACTGGCATCTGAACTTAAACTCAACGTGCGACAAAGACGAGCACCCTGAGAAGTTATGTGTCCTCCCTGGAGGCTTTGCCTGAGCCCCTCCAGAGTCTGAAACATCACATGCCATTGATCTGCCCACACGCCAACAAGTGCCCAGGTTCTTTAGAGAGGAAAACCACGCTCGGCCTCCCCAGGCCCCTCAGCGGGGCCAGCCCCCCGCCTATTCCTCCTCACACCCCTCTGGATTCTCCTCCTTTTGCCATAATCTTTGCTTTGACCTCAGCCGTGTATGGCCCTGTTTTTTTGGCCCAGAGGGATTTTTCTCTTCCGTCGTAGGAAGACTTTGGGTGCCTTTCTCTAAGCTGATCCTTCCTGCACATACGGTTTTGAGAACCAAAGGCTCCTTGCACTGCGTTTCTGTGATTCAAATTAGACGGCAGCAGACCACACTTACTGACAAGCTCTCCTGTGCTGATCTCTGTGGGGAGCCTCTGTGAATCAGGGCGCACTCTGGGTTCGGTCGGAGAGAGAAGGTCGTGGAGCTCCTGGAGGATAGTAGGACAGTATTCGTGAAAGTTGAGCTACTTGCCCTTGAGAGACAAGTAGGTTCTTGACAGACGTGAGAAAAAGATGTCAAAGATCCCAGGCAGAGAAACTTCTGGAACATCAGTAGGAGACTAGGGGACCTTCTGATGAGCTTGGAACTCAGGGTGGGAGAGTGAAGGACTGTAGGCTGTGGCCAGGTTAGAGAGGACCTTCACAGGGTGTGTTTCTTTGCGGGGAGGGGCTCTATAACGGGCTTCCCAGGTGACGCCAGTGGTAAAGAATCCTCCTGCCAATTTTAGGAGATGCAAGAGATACCAGTTCGATCTCTGGGTTGGGAAGAACCCCTGGAGAAGGAAATGGCAACCCACTCCAGTATTCTTGTCTGGAGAATCCCACGGTCAGAGCCCTGGCGGGCTTCAGCCAGCATCCCAGCCCTGGTGCACTACGGCTCTTGCAGTCACAAAGAGTCAGACATGACTGAGCACATAATAGGAAAATGTTGTGATCAGAGCTGCCCTTCAGGGAAAGATAAGAGGGTCTGGAAAGCTCTGGAAGATGTTTTAAGAGCACACTCCAGCCATTTAGCAAACATTTATTGAGCACCTGATATGTACCATAAACTGTTTGGTATTGAGGATTCAGGAATGAATGACAAAGATATAGTTTTTGATATCATGGAGCCTCATACATTTCACGGGACTCACTGTCATCAAGGGATCATGTCAATAGACGAGAAGCAGCAGCAGATTCCAGTTTAGGTTGCTTAGTTGGATGAAATAAAAGCATGCCTTTGAATTATGTCTTTATTTCAACATTCCAGGCCCTCCCACCCCTCCCAACTGTGGCTCAAACTCATCCATCCCATGGCACCTGAAATAGCCATGTGAATAAACAGATTTCTTTTCAAGCAAAAGCGAAGTCAATAATTAGCTTCTGGATTCCTAAAGGTACTTATTTGAGTCTACTCTCCATATGGCCAAAGAGAATATTCATTAACACTTGGGAACCCTGTCTGGGGAACATTCGATTAAAAGGTATTCTTTATATTTTTTAACCTAAGAATTCTCTTCTAGGCAACCCCCGCCCCCCAGGTTACTTGCTGAACTCTGCTAATCTATAGCATTTCATTAGTATTTATGAGCTTTGCATTATTAGCATTTCCAGGAAACAATCAAATATCTCCTTGGTGGTATGAATTAAAAAAGTCAGAGCTTCTGTGGAATGTTTTTGCAAAAGGAGCCACACTTCGGCCTAGAAATGCCCTCTGGGAGACCCCATCCTTTTGTCAGCTCTCAAGTGATGCTGACACTGAAAAATAATTCATCTCTTCTTGTAAAACCGACAATAAGTGCTAACCAAACTTGATTGTGGTTGTGGGGGTGGGTGTGAGGAGAGAGAAGAGGGGAGAAGTTCCTTTCAGTTTTCCTGAAACCAAGTAGTATTCATCTCTATAGCCTCCTCAGTATTTAGCTGGGAGAGAGTCATTCATTCATTCTTCCCACAAGCTTCTGTCTGCCTGCATGTGAGGTATTGATGGAGAACAGAGATCCTGGAGCCAGAAGACCTGGGGGTTTGAGTCCTGGGTTAACTCTTGTGACCTTGGCCAGTTACCAAACACTAGCTACAAAATGCAGTTAATAAGCTCCCCTTGTAATGAGGTTGTGAAGATTAAGAGCTCAATGTGTTTAATGCATTTTGTAAACTGTACAACACTATGAAACATAATCTACAAAGTAGTGAGTGAACTCCAGATAACAATGGACTAATTCTAGCCTTGAGATTTTTCTTCCCCGTCTCTCACCTCTAGCCCAATCTTCATGGCCAAAGAACCATGGACCCCTACTCCATTCAAATGAAAACGGCGTCACAGTGACCTCCCTGCT